GGTGATCGGTATCGGTGATCGGCCCTCATGGGTGATCGGTATCGGTATCGGGAGGAAAAAACCTGATCAGCACATCTCTATTTTTAACTGATATATTTCCCACTCTCCATCGGAAGCACCACTGTCTCAAAATGTATATTTTTCAATTATTTTTAGTATTCAGCAGCTGAGAAACATAGACAGAAGGCAGACATTTTCATCTCAGGGTGCAGTAACACCAGAGTCCATGTAAACTCCCAAAAGATAAAAATAAACAGAGGTGCACCGATTGCATTTTTCTGGCCACTCATAACCAATTTTTAAAAAGCCTGAGCCGCTGATTTTGAGTCGCTAAAATGGCAACAGAGGGGTGACTGTTGTTAGCAGCACACATGTAAACCTGTCAGAATAAGCAATTAACTGCATGATAAATTAACATAAACTCAATTTTCATTCTGATGATACAAATGTTTTAAGGTCAATTTTGCTTACAGAGACATCATAATCCATTGTATTGATAGTTTTGGGTGTAAGTGGTTCTTCTTCCTGTTTCAGTTACCTTTTTTTTTTTGTTTGCTGTTGTGTTTAATTTGGATATTTGAAACATTTTCCATTTCCAGTTACAAAATTGAAGTTTCTTGGTTTTTGAGGTCGATATTGCATTATGATGCCATTATCAATATATCACTTAAAAATGGTCTCAAAATAACATTGTAATTTATCATTATCATCATCGGGGACAATATATCGATGCACCCCTACAAAAAAACTGTTTGTTTTTAGCTGGTGGTGCGGCCGTCTACGTCACACACACTGCATGACTCCATCTCAGCAGGCCGACAACACCCCACAGGAGCCATCTATCAATTTTGCTCTCCCAGACTATCGCTTTTGAGGGCGGGCCGCATCATCCATAAAGAACCGGTCCTCTTCCTGCTGAGGAGGCTGTAAATAAAAATGAAAATAAAAAAAATAAAAAATACGCCGTCCCGTCTTCTCCCTCACCTGTCCTCCAGCAGCCGGGTGGTGCAGCCCTGGCAGTGGAAGCTGTACGTCTCTTTCGCTTTGAGAGTCTCCATCATACTGGCAGGTCCCTCTGCGGAGGCGGCAAGCAAACAAATAGGGCAGATTGGTTGGAATGGTGCTAACATTCTGCTACTGAGCACAAAATCGATGAGATGGCAGGTAGTTGTAGTTGGAGGAGGGGGAATCAATCCGATGGTCTGTTGCTGTAACTTTCTCCTGCCTTGTTAGGGCAACAAAAACACTGGAGTTTAAGAACTTCAGATAATGTTACTTAGTAGGAAATTTGCCCAAGATTTGTATTTTAATTGCTACAGTTTCATCAGCGATCTGCTCCATTGGTTCAGGAAGCTGTGCTGATGCCGGAGCCGCCCTGAACTGCACCTCGCTTGCTCCGCTCTGTCGTGATTCGCAGCCTGAAGTGCAGCTCCTCTCCGCCGGGTTCACCCACAGGTGTGTGAATGCAGGACCCTGTCTCGAAGGCGACCCCTGCTGGGAGAGCGAGACTCAGCTCTCCTCTGGGAGTCCGGACGAGCAGAGAGGAATCTCCTCCGGCGGAGACGGCCACGTCTGCAGGACCTCCGGCCACATTTGTCCTGGAGTGGGGGAAGAGGGATGTTTGGATCACCATTAGTGGACCCGTTTTGACTGTTCATTTCTCACTATTCTCAACATTTTATAATCGAAAGAAGACAAATAAAATGGATCAGAGTGAAATAATCTTTGAAATCGTTCTGTGACTGATCTTTCTTTGGGGGAATTATTATAAATGAAGATAATTTATTACTACTTTAACATATATCAGACTTTGACTATGTAGTCTTAGTCTAATTATATTGTTTGTGAAATTTTGTTTTATGACTTGAGCAATTAATTAAATTAAGATTTTCATCAATCAGCTCAGTATTAATACTTATAATCTTCACTCTGTGCTTCTTATATTTTCTATATTTCTCCCTAGTGTCTCCTTCTCTTTTTCCTCATAAACATAATTATTTTTTAATTCCTTCAATCCAACCAGACCTTTATTAACTACACTTTTTTGTACAGTAACATTGTTTTTTCCTTTTTGCTGTTTGGTTTCGAGTTAGGTGTCCTCGTGTCTGAAAAGTACTCCATAAATGAAGGCCGATTTGTAACCATATCACTGAATATTGCTTCTGAGCTACAACGACTTATAATCACATTGAATGACACTTACTATTAATATTTGACCTTGGACTTAACAAATCAGGCATCCTCCCAACAAGACTGTCAGGAGCTGTGTGCTTTCTTACTCCAAGGAATGTTTGTGATGGTAAATAAAAGTAGTGTACACACATTACAAGCATATGAAAAACCTAAACTGTACAAAATTTTAATAAGTAGCATTAGCTCAAAGAGGGCAGGGGGAGAAAAAGAATGCAACACTTGTTCAAAACATCCGTGCTTCGTTTTTGACACAGAGATTTCTGCAAATAAGATCAAGTGGAAATCTTGTCCAGATCAATTACATTCCAGATTGTTTACCCTCTGCTGATGACCTTTCCAGTAGAGAGGACATGCCTTCATCTCTCAATACTAAACACTGCACCCTTGTTATTTAAATATAAATGATAAATTCATAGTTATTTTTAATGCTGTAGATATTCCTTATATTCTTCCGTACACTGTACAACTACAACAAATATCACTACTGAACACTTAACTGTAGCTACACTCATAGAAAAAGGCAAAACCAAGCGGTTCACTTTGTTCCTCTTTAAATCCCAACGGCACCATCTAGTGGTATTTTTGCGCATTACAAGCACAATTTCTCAGTGCTCAACTACGTTTGAAAAACAAAAAACAAAACTAGCCAGTTGAGAACTAGAGCGTTCTCAAAACGTATTATTAGAGAAAGAAAGTAACATTAAGTCGAATATGGTTTCTGTATGCATTTTCAAACAGTCATTTTATTTCTAATAGAGTGAGATTACAATGACGTGGTAAAGTACCTTGAAAAGTATCTATGCACTTTTTACTTTTTGTCTCAAACACAAACTTCAGTGTATTTAAAAAGCAGTAAGTGACACACTAAAGATACATTTTAACGACAGTGAAACGTGGTGGTGGCAGCAAAATGCTCTGGGAGGTGTTTCCTTCAAAATGGGGCAGAGGTTCACCTTCCAACAGGATGATGACTGGAAGCATGGAGCAAAAGCTTCAATATTTATGGTTAGAATGGCCTAGTCAAAGTCGATGCTGAAATCCAACTGAATCTATGGTATCACACCCAAACAAAAAGCATAAACACATCTGGATATTGTCAAAGTAGATAAAACTTTGCAAGATAAGTTAGTTGGTTGATTAATGTGAGGCACAAATTATATTAAAGCAAATATATATAAAGCAATCAATTGAGATCTCAATTCAGCCCAAGTGACACATATTTTCACAGAATATAGTGTGATTATATTTTCTAACAGGTGAAAGCAGATTACACTTCTAATATAATTGCAAATCAAGTTAATATAATATGTCCAGAAGGTGTCTTCATAAACGTTTTTAAAATTTAATTGAATAGCTTTTGTTGAACATGAATCCAAGACAGACTTCAAGATGAAATTCTTCATACATGTGGTGTTAAGTCACATATTGTTCATTTGTAAAACCTTTATTATTAGAGGTTTGCACGTATTAAAAACATGGAAGGAGCTGGACTTGAACTGTGAAACTCTGGATTAATGGCAGCCTGTCTACAGCAGCCACACACTTCTATAGGTGATGTATGACGGAGGTCGGATTTCTGTTTGGGATATTATGAATGATGCTTAGCAATTCACGTTTTAGCTTGATGAAAACCACCACAATATTTTCCTGCACATTTATGTCTTAATAAACTTTTAAAAACAACATAATTCATCCCCGAAATAAATAATATTGTAATTTCCTTTCAAATGCTTAACTTTAAGTCAAAGATTAGACCACCTGTCAAGTTTGCTGCCCTGTTCCAACACACCTGACTCAAATGAAGGGCTAATTAGCAAGCCGCTACAGAACCTGATGAGGAGATAATGCAGTCATTTAATTCAGGTGTGCTGCAGCACGTTTCCGTCTGAAAACTGCAGGACAGTAAGTCTAAAACACTGAAGTAAAGTTAGACCGAGGTTTAAATAAGAATTATGTATTGACTTAATATTTATTACGTCCAAATAAGGTCTTCATGTAATCTTAATGTTGAAATAATCTGCAATATCGCTCAGTGAGTCCTTTCTGGTCTGTTTCTTTGTCATGCTAAGTTAGCTAACGGCAGCTAGCCTAGCTGCAGAGAACATGGCAACTTAATAAAACCAAACACTTCCTGATAATGTAAAAAATAAAAATAAAAATATATTCCTTTACCCAACAACGAGCAGTCCACTTTGAAGCCTTTTTCTCAGCTCTAAGAAGACTCCGAGTCCATGTGTTTTCACCGACATGTCTTCAGCTATTCAGAAGGTTTGCGCCCAGGAAGAAATTGATAATAGTAATAAATACATAGATTCAGTGTCTAATTAAAGCGGCTTTGATTCAGAAAATTCTAAGAAAAATAAATAAACACGTAATAACGGCTTGGAAATCCGTACTTTCTATCCTCTTGGTCAAAGCGTGACAACAGTGGACTGTTCGTTGGCAGTCCGCCGGCGGGCGATCCGGATAGAATTGGTGAGGAGGCCGAGTGGGTGGAGTTTTCCTCTTTCATGGAAGAAGGAGCTGACAGAGCGATGACATTTTACTATGTCACTAACTACTGAAAAGGTAAATGAACAGCAATGATCAGCTGGAAATCACAATATTTCATAGGTACACTGATACATTACAGTCATGCATTGTTACCAGTTATATCGTCAAATTGGACACTAACCCTTGCAAATAGAACTGCTGGTTATTTGAAGTAAGTACAAGTTTACTTATAAATTTTACTACGTCATAGGTGAAGCGCCTCATATATGTAGCAAGCAAAAAACAATATGAAAAACATTAAAACGTAATAAAACAGACAAAATTAGTCAAACTGGGGGAGACTATTAAGAATAAATCACATTGAAATTCATTAAAGATGTTAACCTAAAATTTCCAGATTTGAAACCTCATGTCAACTTGCCTTTATCCAGTTTAAAGAACTGGACAGACTTTGTACCCCTTTTTGTATAAATTGTCATGATTTTTTATTTTTTATTATTATTATTTTTGCATCGGAACTCCAGTTGTGATTGTCTTTGAAATACATCCACGCCTATCCAACGTATCATCTCGCAGGCTGACAAATGGTGCGGACTCATAGTGACGAAAAAAAGAGAGAAAACAGAAGCGCAACATCCGGTTAGAAACATCAAAACAGACGTCATAATATGATCTAACTCTGAAAATAATTATAAACTGCTATCAAGCCTACATGTCACTAGCCAAAAATTAATTACGGTAATTGTGTCATATTTTTGTAAACATTAGGGAACGTTTGTTTTAAACTTAAGTTTCAAAAAGAAGAAAACAAACAATAATTTCCTCCAGATTTGTAAGAAAATTCAATTTGCTAAGAAATGAAAATAAATAAATAAAAAGGTTTTTGCAGCAAAAATAACAATTATTATTATTATTGTTATTATTATTATTATTATTATTATTATTATTATTATTATTATTATTATTATTATATTTGGCATAATTTAATGCACATAATTTATTTTTATCTATCATTGTAAAATCATTGTTCCTGTTTATGAAGAACTGCTTTACTTTGAATATCTCTACAAAATGAAATAAATTATATCGAGCGGAATAAATGAAAATTGGCATATAAATAGAAATAACTAAAGAAATAAATATGATACGATGTACACCACATTGTATAACAACAGTTTAAAATCCTATTTTAAGTTTTTGTGATGTATTTGTTTATTAATCCCTTTATGTGACTGTTTATTTCTCTATTGGCTGATAGATATGATCCCTTATGGTTTTGTGGTATTAGCATAACACATTATGCACGGAACTCACTCTACAAACGAGTCAACCCGTCGAGCTTTCATTTTGAAGGTATCGGATGTAGTTTATGAATTTGTGTGGTGACTTTACAGCAGGAGCGGATAGGTGGAAGAGCAGGCGGACGTATCTGCAGTGCAGTCTGGGAGCTGTCAATCGTTTAGCTTTGTGCCTGTAGCGATGGCAGGTCTACGTTCGCCTCAGTTTATTTACAAACAGCGGGATTGTATGAAGCCGGGCAGGAATATGTAGGATAGAGTCATTTATTTCCTGCTGACAGAATATTTCCTTCAAAGGACCTGGACTGGATGAACGGGTGTCATCGGAACGGGCCCAGCTTTTAAACAATCTGTAGCTAAACAGCTAGCTATGACACATTTCTGATGTTGTCATCCGTTTTCGTTTATCGTTTTGGATACGTAGTTGAATGACAGTCCTTCGTCTGGAAACGGTAAGGCTTTCTATAAGACTATTTTTATCACATTAACCTGCGCACGGTGAATTAGCTCATCCAGCTCGTGACAGTTAGAGAGCTGTTAGCCAGGGTGTTACAGTACTCCTACTCTAATATAGCATTCTTAATAAAAAGCCATAGAGACAGGTCAATGATATTCATGAAATATATGTTTTTTTATTTATCGTGTTCTCCATGTTAAAACACTGCTTCACCTAAGTTGTTATTGTTGATAGTCCTCATATTTGCGTCACACACAAACTGAAAGTTTCCACCTGTTACAAACTAATATTTGACAAGGTTTTATATTATTAAATGGGTTTTTTTTAAGTCTCCATTCTCGTGACTGTTATTTGTTCTCGCGCTTCAGCCACTTCATCACATAAACCTGTTAAGCCACGAGGCAGACTTTCAGGTGAATGAGTCGTGTCCAGGAAACGGTGAAACTTGAACCAGCCATTAAACCTGACTGAAGGACATGATCTGATAGAAGCCTCTCAGGATCCTTACAGCAAGGCACGAAGGTTTAAAGCAGGGCACCATGGACAGCTTATCAGTTTGCTGTGATATGTTGTAAATTGTTATTTAGTCAGGATAAAAATCTACCCTCCAAAAAAACAAATATAAGTGCTATAAGCACGTTCTGTAGATTTATTATTAATAAGTTTCTTTAGTGATCATTACAAGATGGTCTTTTGCATTATTGCCACACATCACCTGCTACCGTTACAGTGTGTTGCTTCATCACATACATTTTGTGATGAAGCAACACAGAATCAGCAAGTTTCCTTTTCTTTGTTTTCCTTTGGTGTGCTTTTTTAAAAACATTGAATTTTGGAACATCCAGCTGTGGGAAGCCATACTTTATATCCAAGCTGTGTTTTTAATATGGCCAAGCATTTGATTTTGATCATGACTGGACTGTAATGGAAAGGTGGCAACAATGAAACAGAACCAGCTGATAAACTCACGTCATAAATTGTTAACCTTGACGCTTTGGGCCACTCTGTCATCCACTTCGAACCTCTAAGAGCAGGAGTCTGAGGATAAATTTGGCACCGTAAAGTGAATCAGGCAAGCGCTGATCTGATGAGTCAAAGTTACTTCAATGACCTGATGATGGAGTCAGTGTCTGGGGTAATCGACTTGATGCTGGGGTCAGTCTGCTTCGTTCAAGCGTTCAGTCTCGATGTGCTGTAAGGTTTATCAGCCGTTAAAGCTGCATTTTATTCAAAACCTTTCTATAATAACAGGAACAACTTTCAACACCATAGTAAACGTCATGTCATGAACTGAAGTTAATAATTATAATGTAGTGTTACTGCAATGTCTACAAGTAATTCATAAGATGAATTATTGTGAGATTTTCTACAATGTGAAAATATGCGGTCCTTAAAATATATTAATAATATATATATTATTTTTTCAATGTTTAGATCTTTTTTTTATCTTTTAATTTTATTTTTTGAAATGGGTGGGAAAAAAATAGATTTTCATAGCTCTGGCCTGACCTGAGTCAGGCTTTTTCCCGTAAACTGAAGTTCGAACGTTTTTAAACGAAGGTGGTCTGACATTCACTCAGAATTATTGCAGAAGCTGCAAACTATGGAGAATGGCAGTGGGTCCAAGCTCTATGTTGTATGGGACATTTCTTCAAATATTAAGGCTGACTTGTATAAAATCTTGACTCCAGGTGGCTTAGAGAAAATCCAATAGAAAATCAAACTTGCTTACCCAATACTTTTTGCTCTGATGAGCAATAATTGATGATTATCAATTACTGAAAAAATCAAAGAAAATCAGAAATTGGTATTGGTAAACCCTGAAGCCCACTCAGTGTATCTTTTGTTTTTGTTTTTAAAAATGAGTGGTAATCAGTTTTAAATCTAGAAAAAGGAGGTTTCACTTTACCTATGAAAAAATAAAGTAATTTGAGAATCGTCATCGGTGAACCACACATTTTAACTGATATGACATGAATAGTATGAAAAATTATAATGGTTAACTAAAACCAACAAAATGAAAACTGAAATTTGACAGAACATGTTTAACTGAAATAAATAAAATTGATAAACTATAGCTAACTGTAACCATATTGTGTGTTTATAAAACTAACAAAAATGTTTTTAAATTATTCTTCATTTTTGTGTTTCGGAATCTATTTATTAGCCTTTAAAACTGTTGTGAAATTGTTTGTTGTTCCCGTCCACACACACACATACACACACACACACACACCTCCATACAAACAATTTACATCAGTTGTCGGCAAATTACAGCGCTCCATTCTCCTCCTGGTGGCTATGCTACGCTAGTCCACAACATGGCAGCAGTAAAAGCTGGGAGAAAACTCCAGAGTCAGTTGCTTGTTCAGCAATAATTGAATATATATTTTTTGAAAACCATATCTTCTGCTGAGTATCCATTACCCAATGGATGTATAATCTTAATAATCACAATATGATACTTTGACATTTTTGAATTCTGCACCTTAAAATTAACCAAAGTATGAAAAAACTAAAACAACTACTATAACTACTAAAAACTAAAGTAAAACTAAACAATATTTAACTACCAGCAAATAAAAACCAATTGGTTTTTAGAGTGCGTTTGAAAACTAACAAACACACTCTAAAAACTAATTGGAACTAACTGAATTAGACAAACAAAAAGTCACACACAAAAAAACTATAATGAAAAACCCAAAACTACTGTAACTCCATGGTAAACTAAAAGTTGGATTTATTAAAAAAAACAAAAAAAAAACAAACATAGGCCAGGCATATTTAACAGCATTTAATGTCTTCAGTGTAGCTCCATGGTCTAGAGATGGCGTTAGTTTTATTCAGCCATGTTAACCCAAAACTCCACAGCATCCCAGCTCATTTGATGTTGAAGCTCTTAGTTTCTAAACCCGTTGAACAGAGGAAAACGAGTCTGAATCAGAGGAGCCAAATCCTTTTAATAGTTGTTCTCCAGAGATGTCAGGTTGTAGGAGGAATAGATGCAACGTTCTGACCAAATAAATGTTTCATTTCCAGACTTTAAAAACTGACTAAAGGAAATAAGGAAATGAGATAAGAGTTGCTTGCATCAAACGTCGGTTAAAATATTTATTACCCCATCCAGTTCTGATAAGTATCTGGGG